AAAGAAAGAAAGAAAGAAAGAAAGAAAGAAAGAAAGAAAGAAAGAAAGAAAGAAAGAAAGAAAGAAAGAAAGAAAGAAAACACACACACACACACAACAGGTCCCTTCCTTTACCTAATGGCCTAATGTTTCCTACCGATGAAGAACGCAGACCAAATTGAGCATGAAGCCAGTCTGACATAGAAGTTAGAAGCTCTCATAGCCTCTCCCATTATAGTCTTTTCTTCATTCACGACCTAAACTCCAAGGAAATCCTTCTAGAAATAACTTCTGAGCACCCACAATGATGTGTATAAACCATGACACCAGAACTTGTGGTGTCATACCCAGAGAGCATGGCTTCTCCATCAGGCAGCCTACATTCCAGGCAGCAAGGAGCTGAGTGTACACAAATGAGTCTGATGTAAGGCAGGAAATGTTAGGTGACGTACGTGAAAAACCAGCAAAACAGGACAGGGTTCAGAGCAGGAGACAGTGCTTCTCTTGAGATCAGTCAGGAAAGCTGTCTGAATTAAGGGACTGTGTTTTAACCAGACCTCGGACGACAGTAAAGAGCCAGATGTGTGATAGAAATGTCTACCAGAGGGCTTCCAAGTGGAGGAACCAGCAGAGCAGAGGCTTGGCACCGAAACACTGTGTGTTAATGCAAGACGGAATACTGGGAAACCTACTAAAAGTCCACTGGAAATCTTTGCTTGGTAAGGACAAACAAAAATATTTCAAGGAATGCTTTGTTCATCGTGTCCTGCTAATCTTGTCGGGACCATTTCATTCCACGTGAAGAGGTGAATCCAGATTTGGGAATCTAATTGACCTTGTGGGTTTTCTTTATGTTGCAGCTCAAGTCTGCTTACGCCCCCACCCTGCTTACCCCCCCACCCCACTCCCACTCTCCCAAAGCCAGGGAACCTGAGGACTGTGAGAGCAGCCGCCTCTTAAAGGAGCATCTCGGCTGTGAGCCGTATTTTCAATTTTTATTAGCGTTTCTTATTTGCCCACAGCCCGATTTCTTTTAGGCTTGACATAATTTGCATGATTGAGTTAATCCAAGTGTGAAATGCAGTAGGGACCCGATTCAATGGATGGTCAGAACGGCAGCATTATTAGGACATAAAAGAGATGGGGCAGGGTGCTGCCCCCACATCTCCAGGTGCAAACAGACTACCACGGGGGGGACTCGCAGTGATCCTCAGGGCAGGAAAGCGCTCCAAAAGAATGAACTGTGTGCGCTCGGCACAGGAGATGCATTCTTCAACGTCCTGCCCACAAAATATTTATCAGGCCAGGTGCCGTATTTGAGATCGGCAACAGACTCCCTCCATGTGTCATCAAAATCTCTCAGCCTAACTCCTCTAGAACTCCTTGTAAAAGAAATATTTGCACATATATATTAAATATATATGTACTTTTTATTTTAAAATAATTTTAGACTGCAGAAGGGTCATACGGAGAATCCCCATATACTCCCCACCCACCTTCCCATGATGAGAACGTCTTAGACTACTATAGTACATTCGTCAAAACGTATAAATTAAAATCAATTCAGTGCTGTTAACTAAACTGCAGACTTCATTCAGATCTCCCCAGTTTTTTCACTGTCACTTTGTTCATTTTGAGAGATGTCACCCTACTCATTTTGGTAATTATCTTTAACCAACAGAAAACGTCATTATTGATTTCATTTTGCAACCTGCTGGCCTTGCTCGACCTCTGAGCTCATCAGGGTGCAAAACACGCTCCCCACACAGCCAAGCGGAGCCTCGGAGCCCCGGTGTGCACTTCACATCCTTGCTGGAATCTCTGGGGAGAACAGGCTTTCTGCTCAGCCCTTCCTGGAGCATTAAGAAGTCCCGAAAGCCAGTTCCAGGGAGCAGCTGTGAATTTGCTGGCAATCAGCGGCTTCTGGCTGTGGCGTGCTAGCTGTCCTCAGAGATCATCACACCAAAAGAAACACCTTCAAGAGTGGCACCAGGACATCAGAAACAGGGCATTTGGTGAGGATCTTACCAAGCAACGGTCCTTGCCTTTTCCTTTTTTATTGTAAACTCTTTCAATAGTAATAATTTAATCCCCTAGATCTTCTTAGTAATTGTTCCAAATAGTTCCACTGTTTCTGGTAAAATTTTGTTTAAAAATTTGATGTCAATGTTACTAAAATGTTGTCTTAGAATTCATGTTTAATAATCTTTAAATATTATTGTCCATAAAATAGACCTTATTTGTATCAAGAAATAAATGACACAGGACATTTCATTCACATTAAAGTCATAATTTAGAAAAACTGAATATTTTGTTGACCAATTTGCTTTAAAATGATACATTGTCTCATCATTGGAAGACTGAATGTATGTTAACACACAATACAACAATTACACATTACTATGTCAAATATACAAGAATGCCTTTTTTATTCCTTGATATAGAGAAATCTTGCATGTTGCCCTTAAAATATCAGGAGCTTTATTTTTATAATTTTTGCTTTTTTTGTTTCTCAATGACAAACTACGGGAGAAAGTTCATACTGATATTTGTTAAAACTTTGCAACTAACACATTGAGAGTATAGTTTGACATTTTAAATTCCCAATAAGTAATAAGCCACGTTGGATACATTTAATCTTTTTCACATTGAATTTGGAAATACTGGTGACATGGTTGTGTGTGGATCAATGCAGATAGCTTTAAGAGGAATTTGAAGATGTGACCATTTTTATGCTTCTTGTTAACTACTTTACA